AAGTACAATTACTAATTAGAACTGCTTGTAAATAGTGCATTGTAGTGCGAGTAGTGAGTAGGTAGTGTTGTAAGTACTGAGTATTGTAAGTCTTTACATTGTAAACAGAGTAAGTACCTTAGTCTATTGTATTCTAAATATTGTATTGTAATTAGTGTAAGTATCGTAGTGTTTGTAAGTATTTTTGATTGTTGATTGTCGATTGAATAAATGTTATTAAAGATAAAAAAAATATAAAAAAAAAACATCTTGATGCAGCTGTGATTGTGAAATGTAGCATATGAAATGACCATCCTTTCCTTGATCAATCCTTTTTTCCGGAAGATTGTTTGTTTGGGAATAACTTGTCCTTTTCCTGCCTCAGTGGCATGCTGTCGAGCCTGGTAAATTCTCCATTTAGTCAAACCAGGGATTAACGTTAGCAATTCCCAGCAGCTAAAGTCATTTGCAAAAAGAGATAGGATCTGGTGTTTAGTTTGCCACAACTCTGCTTTACCATAAGCTTTGATCAAGACATCAATGAACCCAGTGTTTGTAACGAAATGCTTTCTTTTGGATGAGCTACTCTCGTCCCTCTTGATTAAGTCTGAATCGTTTTGGAGTCATTTCGAATGGTGTTTTTCTTGCCTGGGACTAATGACTGACAGCGTAGCTGCAACAGCTTCCCTGGCCTTGCGAATATAGTCCTTTGGCTGGGTAGATGAAATATCGTCCCATGAGGCATTTAAAGTAGAAAGGATGGGACTAAATCGTCCACTTGGCAGGTTTCCCAGGGCAACGTCTAGTGCCTGTTGTTTCTCATTTTGGATTTCCTTCTCGTGGCACCAAATGCTTACTTCTTGCTCAGGATCACTGATTTGAGAGGCCTGCGACAAAAGGCCATCATCTGCGTCTTCGTCAAGTGGTTGAACATCTTAACTCATGGTCACTTCACATTCCATTAGTTCCACCTCCTTTTTTTCTTCTGGAGTTGTCACAAAGCTTTGCTCTGAGGATGACTACACACCAGTTTCCTGTAAAAAATTAGTTAGGTAATGAATAACCATTACCACCCAAGGCTTGGTCCAATAGTTGAATTCATTGAGACGAATTGACTATCTCCGCTTTTATTATACTGTGTTTATATGTAGCTACACTGTAAGCACTTCTCCTATTCTGAAGTTTCATTATTGACCAGTTCTTAGATCATAGCCAACTATTTGATGACATCTAACTAGGCTGTGGTTTAATGAATCCTAACATCAGTAGCCTGGGACCTGGCTCCACAGCAGCAGAAAAAAGCGGAAAATAAATCAGTAAGGGCGAAAAAAAAAATCAACGAGTAAAGCGAGCTGAGCGATAGGCTAGGATGGGGAAAGGGTGGCGCCCTGTTTCACCTCGTTTTTTGCCTTTTTCTCCCACAGTGGAGCATACTGACCCAGGCTATAATGCCATTTATTTTGCACACCTTACCTCGTCCAAACGAACCTATGTTCTTGACAAACTAGTTCTTACCACATAACCTCCACTTAAATTAATCTTCAGAAATTATATGATGTAAACTAATGCGTAAGATATGCAGCAACCCATCAAAGAAGAAAATTAATGTTTGCTTCAGTTGGTAAAAACATCGCATCTTCAAGATGGGATCACCGCGGTTTTGAACCCCATGATGTCAGATTTTTCACGAGGATTTCTCGTGAAAACAAAATTTATGAAAACATGGACTTGACTATCCCCGTTGGGTTAGAAATTAGGGAATCAGACCGGTCTTCTGTGACTGCATGGGTTCAAATCCCCTTGTTCACGTGTTTTTATCATTGTAAACATCACATTTTTTCCCAATTTTAATTTTATTGACAGTTCCTATTACATAATGTAGACTTCATCCAGAGAGCTCAAGTAATTAGTGAGTCAACCCTAGCTTTGGCTCAGGACTCGCTATTATTCAGTGCTATTGCTGACCTGTTCCATGCCTTCATCCAAATGTAAAATGTAGATCAAAATCACTTTTCTTGCGTTTTTTATAGTGGTTCAGCTTACAACTTGTGCAGATTGCTACCAAGAGGAAACAATCAGAATCGCAGCCCACTCATCACGAAGTGCCATGCTCGTACCCCTCCCTCCCAGACACTTTTGCTGGAAATGAACAATGCAAGAAGATCACAATTCTTTTTGCTAAGCCAATAGTATTTTTCCTCTTTATTTTTATATTAGCATAATACATGGTTAACTGTAAAGCTTTTGTGAAATGTTTTGTATATAACTGATAACACTCTCACTAGTCCAATTTTCATGTGAGGCATACTGTAATTCACAGACTTTATAGAGCATGCTTGCAAACAACTTGAAAATAAGATTGGTTTTTGATAAGCGTGAAAGTTATCAGCTTCGCTTTATTGTACTGGCATTTTTTATTCCATTGGCATACATGTTGTGTACCCCGTATCATATTAGTGAATCGTCAATCCATGGTTTTGTGCTGTTTACTTTTGTTCAACATTACATGCCTCTAAAAACTACTGTAACTGAAGACATGAATGAACAGTGTAATGAACTGTACGTATCAGATGTCCCTTAACCCAAACAGCACGCGAGTATGCAAGAATTAACTAATTTAAAGCGAAGTCTTCACTCACCTGCCCCGACTGGAACAATCTCCTTGAAACTCAACAAATATTTCTGCAGATATTCTTGTATTATAAACACTTCTAGCGAGACTAAGTCACTTCTTTAACCCTTGATGGGACGGGTAACATCAAATGTAATTCTTACGGCCAGGCCAGTCGGTAGTTAGATGTTTACACACTGCCTTTATATATTTTCGATGTCAGTAGCTTTTCCTTTCAGAGTTTAAGGTGAACGAGTTGAAAACTCGTTCGGTTTCTAGAAAATGCGTGGTCAATAGTTGGATAAACATATTTTTTTGGTTATCTGCTTATCGCGGTTGCCATTTAACTCATTGACAGAATATAATGGACACCACGCCTTACTCATGTGGGAGACGGAAAATCTCCTAGGCTTGTTCCCATGCACAAAGGCCACTGGGGAGTCTTCAGTCGAATTTACTTTGATCAATTGAGTTCGGCACGGCAGTAGCACGACGTTTGAAACAGGCCTTACTCTGTATACTCATGGCAACCACCGCAACTGGCCATATGTCCCTCTACGCGTCAAATTCTGTATACTCGGTGCAACCACTACAACTGGTTGCATCCCTCTATGTGTTTAACTCTATATACTTGTCGCAACCTCTGCAACTGGTCATGTCCCTCTACCTATCTAACTCCGATACTTGTCACAACCACGGCAGCTGGCTGTGCTTCTCTTTGCGTCTAACTCTGTATTCTCCACTGCAACTGGTCGTGTCCCTCTACATGTCTAACTCTGTATGCTCGTCACAACCACTGCAACTGGTTGTCCCTCAATAAGCTTAAGCAGAGAATTACATTTACCTTATTTCTTCTCCCAAAGAGTAGCAAGTTTGAGGCTGAACATTAGACCCAAGTTGAATTAAAAGACGAATAGGCGATATTATTTCGGGAATTAGTATAATGTGCCTCACTTGGAGGGAAATTGCGCACAATTCAGTCTCGCTGTTGTAGTACTCAACCATGCTAAAACGCTCCCAACGGAAAATCTATCTCGAAAAGCAACATGAGCACACTTATCTACATTTGACAGCTGTTGTCATAATCTCTATCTTATGTCAACAGTATAATTTAATGTACTATTGAAATGAACTTGAAATCACGCGCACAAGTTATGTGATAAAAAACGTTTACTAAACAAACAGCACAATTTTCAACAATTATTTTTACTTTATTTTCCTCAGCGGTCTGCATGTTATTAGAGTTTTTGTTTTGCATTAACTTGAACATATATTTTACTACCCAATTTTCTTAAAATTTGTATGAACCTATCGAAAATTAAAAATTGAATCAATTTCCATTAACTAATTAGCCATCAAAAATAGGTGTAAATAACAACAAGACGCTGTAGGAGCGTATATTTGGGCGTTGACAGGAGCATGGGCTCCTTTTGTTTTTGAAGGGTAAAAGTGATTTGAGGTGTTGCCGTGTGGTAGTCGTGGGAACGCTAATTTAGTTATGAAGGAAGTTACAGTTCGTGACAGTCTGTTGAAATGAAGTGGTGGTTGTGAAAGTCTTCATCAATAAACGAAAACATACTTGTACTTATTTTAAATGTCATTAGGTTTTATGTTTAGGATTAGCCATTTTTATACTAGAGGGCGCATTATCTGTCAGAACGGATAATGCATCTCATGTAATGTCTAGGGTAAAGACAAGATGAACAACAAGACAAACTATGAGAGATGAACAAAGTGAAAGAAAAAATGAAGGCTGTGCTTGAACTTCTCAAATTGTTTTCCCATAAAAGAAAGGCAGAAGAACAGAGTTTAGGTCACCAATATAGGTTAAAGGTAGAAATAGCGAAGAAACGTTTTCGTAGAGAGGTGGAGTTCGAAACTGAAGCTACACAGCCCACTGTTATACCAGCAATCGTGATTACAAATGACAGAAATGAGCGTGGTCCCGATGAGATGAGGAACGGAGATTGGTGGACAAACGGATATCAAAACTGGGATGGAGCCTCTCTCAAGAAAAGGTTGAGGGTGTCTCGAGACACTTTTGAATTTATTCTGAGCAAAATTTAAGACCTTATCGTGAAAGAGCCCACTTTCATGAAGCCTCACCCTACTCCACCTGCTACCCAGTTGGCTTTATGTCTATACAGACCAGCACACAGGTGCACATTTTTGACTGTTGGAGATCTCTTTGGGGTTGGAAAATCAACTGCGCACATAATTTTTCAAGATGTTTGTAAGGCCATTGTGGAATGTTTGTGTGGGAGATATGTTTACCTGCCAAGAAATCTGCGAGGGCGGAGTCAAGAACTGGAATGTTTTCTGGCAAGTTGGGATTTTCCTTGTGTTGGGGCATGGGATGGATTCCATATTTACATAAGCACTAAACGTAAGAACTTTTACAGTTACAAGAAGATGCATACAGTTACAAACATGGGATTCATTGGGTAAAACTTCTAAAACCATACAAAGATGGAACAAGGACCTTGGCAAAGGTATTTTAACAGGAAACTTTGCTCTGCAAGAGTAGTTTCTGAACATGCTTATGGAATGTTAAAGGGGTGGTGGAAAATTCTCTACAAAAGGTCAGAATGTCTAAACAATATTTCCCTCATCATCATGACCTGAATTGCTGGGTCATTCCACGGTAATCTGTCATTGTGAACAAGACACTTTAGAGACACAAAATGGCTCCTCGGTAAACTACTGAAAGAAGAAGTACAACTTTTATATTTGTTTTATGTAGATGCAAACTAAGTTTATCTATAACACAAGACAAATCTGGTCCTACTTTTTACAGAGAGATACAGTCAAGGAATGATTGCCCATTCACTCACGAGAAACGCAAATTTAATTTTTCCCAATTCAAGGTTAGATTCTTTCAAATTCCGGCATCTTTTAAAATGATTTTTTCCTTACAAAGAAAGAGCTTTTCATAATTAATCGTCAAATGAAAACAAATGTTTGGTTATTCCTTCTTAGTGTACCCGAAATCTCCCATGATTTGGTTTTGTTGCAGAGAAGAAGTTGTGGAGAAGACAAAAGGGCTCGGTATAAAAAACCCTGTTTTGTTAAGGCTAAACTGTGGATCATATAGTACCAGATTACAGGAGAGGACTACCAATATAAGACAGGCTTTGAGAAGGGTTTATTAATAATCTGTGGTTATAAATAATCTAATGTTGATGATATATAAGTATTAATAACTAATTTAATGATTAATTGATACAATTTATAAATGGGGGAGTAGACAACATCGTCTAAGGTGCCTTAATTGTGACTTGAATCTTTCCTTGCACCGCGGGTAAAGTTAAAGGAAGTGGCTGTAGTGCTCTGCTGTGTAACTCTAGGATCATGTACTTTCTGAAGTCAGGGATTCTTCTCAGATCATCATCTTCCCTTTGGATACAAGACAGCGAGCAAAGGCACAGACAAAGGCACCACAGTCCCAGCTATTGTCTTGTTGAGGAATGTCTTCTTGACGGTTTGCACAGGACTTCCACTTCTCTACGTTTAGGTTGCCATCAATCATCTTCACTACTTGAAACATCTTTTTCACGACAACTCCAGCACTGGGTTTGACGCTGTTCTAGCGCTGTCTAGAACAGCCATGAGATATTTTTTGGGGAATACAGCTAAGAGAAACCAGTGCTCAGTCATCAGTAGATTGCAAGGAATGAGAATAAGGTCTGACTCTAGAAGATCTTTTCGAGATTTGGAGTAGCATTTGGTGGTCGCACAGTCTCAAACTCTTCCCATGTAATTACGTCTAACTTCACACCATCCACCTGTTGAAGCAGTGTGAGATAGCAATCAGTGATGAAGTTGACGATGTAATTATCTTTAGGTTTGGCATGTCCACCGAGCAGAGATAATATGTCACTTTAAGATATAATTCCATGCCCTCGAAGCTAACTGACCCATAAACTATTGCTGAAACAAGTGCAGCTTTCTCAACAGGGAGATCTGCAGAATGACGTTACTCAAAAGTGCAGTAAGTTCCTTAGTCAGTCCATACTTTACTGTACGACTACAGTTTGACTGGGCCACGGAGATGTAAAGAATAGAGTGGTCTGCAACAAACTTTACAGGAACCTCCTCATCACTTGATACAGCAGTTGCAATAGGGCATTCAAGTAAGTGATGCACTTCAAATTCGAACGGAGATGGTGCTTGAAATGGGGAATTCTTAGCCACCTTGATATGCGTATCACTTGCTCTTTCTGCATAAGGGAGAGTATGGGTGTGTGGGATGACCTTGGGTCTTTCCCATTTTTCTTGGAGTGTCTGTCCTACCTCCCTAACTTTCTTTACCAGAACATACAGGACATTGACCTTTCTACAGATTCTCTAGGCAGTGGCATGGAATTCCACAGTGCCGTTGATAACATTCCTCCCTTGGAGAATGGTTCACCACAGCTTGTGTAACTTCAGCACCAACACCTTTGCATGCTCCCTTTCCATGCGTAGTCTTGAAAAAGCTCCATTTTGCGTCACAAGCAATATCATTGGGGTAGAATAAAAGACTTACAACGATAAAAATAAACATGAAGTTCTTATATCAACTAAACAAAAACAGCTCAAAAGAAATACTTAATTATCATTCTCAAAAACCATAATGAGTTACATGAATTATTGGCTGGAAATACCAATGAAAGATGTATTTTTACTTACTTGACATACGTTTTTACATCATTTCAATGGTATTTCCAACCAACTCATGACAGTACAAAGCAAAACAGCCTTGGATTCAAAGAATAACAAGTATTTGTTCTGCTGTTTTCTTGTCTAGTTGTTGTAAGAACTTCTTGTTTACCTCATCCTTATAGAGGGCGAGGGGAGGGGGGTGGTGTCATAGGGTAAAAGATTACATTTAAGGGGTGAGTCGAAAAGGTAAGTGAAACATTTTCAGGGGTGGGTCAACAATAAAACTTATTGGTGGAAAAAAAAAAAACCCTGACATAAGTAATGACCAGTCCCTAACCAATACATCCAATTCCATAAAAGTGTTATAAAGTTGTAGTTATGTAAAACTTTCTAACAGTGGTTTGTTCGAATTATACAGAACAGAAACGATGTTGGTGTCTGGACCACTGGTTACATTTTGGTGCCTTTATCACAACTGGCAATAAACAGATTACAAGTAACCACGACTGCCTGTAATAACATGTCTGAGGTTTCAAAACACAACAGGGAAGCTCATGCCCTGTTCACGAGAATGAACTATATTCAAAAATTGTACACAAACTCTTACCTACGAATTTTACAATTTGACCGAATTTAAATTCACAAAAAAACTACCAAGCGAATTCAAAAACTATTAATCGAATAAACGAAAATTGTCTCTCTGTCCAAGTCCTTCCAAGTTCTAAACTGTTCTCACTTACATTTTTTAACATTAGAGTTTTAATCTCGGTCCATGCAAATTTCCATCACACTTCATCCAATAATGGCTGGAAGGAGTCTCTTAATGTATGAATATCTTTCACCACCATCGCTAGTTCATTGTCCTTTTGTCCATGCCCCCGTAAATTTATAGTATTGCTCAATAAAGTTAAGTGTGATAGAGGACCCTGTTAAAAGAAAATTCACCACCAACTCCTCTATGAACATGAGTCCCCTGCGCCCTTAATCATAACTCTACCTAATACCAAGGCATGGGTCTTTGATCATTCTGGCTATCCATATCTAAAACTTAGCTATCTTGGCTACCACTTGTCACTTAATTAGTTTGAGGTGTATGGCTATAGGGCATTGGGTTGTAATACTGGGCAGGCATGGTTTGTTATCGGAGATGCTGCTGTGTTTCTTGGGGTGGAGGCTTTGAATATTTCATTGAGATCTCAAGCATCATTTCTGCAGCCTATTCAATTCGGCTTTCTCTTAAAGAATAGCGAGAAATTCAGCATGCCTTTCTTTTTGTGCTTCCATCATCTTTCCTCAAAACGTTTGCTGTGATTCTCCAAGTACTCCTTTTTTACGACCTAATGGTTTTATGTCCAATGAATTGTTCAAAACTGTCTCGTACAGAAAAGAGTAAAAGGAAAAGAGGTGATCACGCTTGTGTAGTAGAAATAGCATCCGCAGTAGTGTTACAAGAACCTTCAAGGTAAATTGCAGTAATGTAAAAATTATGGACCGCAGACAGCCAGAAAAGCGCCCTTAGCGTTCCCGTAATAGTCGTGTGGCCAGTAGTGCCTTTGTTGATAATTTGCGCAGCTGGTTGGTTATCACTGTAAATGACAACCCAATAATTCGCCCATAAATGTTCCCAGAGCTGAGCAGCGAGTACAATCGCCAGGGTCTCCGTATGGTGAATATGTAGAGCAAACCATCCGGGTTTGTTAATTGAGGAATTGAAATAAAACCAATCGCCCCGAAATTGCCCTCCTGCCGCGAGAGTGCAGGCATCTGTCATAACATCCACTGTTGGTCGATCATCTAAGAAGCGCTTGCCGTTAAAAGCACGAAGAAAATTCACTCACCAAGCAGTGTCATGACAAAATGAGAGTGTTAAGCAATACTTGGCACCTAGAGAAAGAGAATTTATGGTGTGGATGACTTGGTAGAGAAAGGTTTGCCCGCTGTAAACGGCTCTGCAGGTCCAATTGAGTTTACCGGCTAGTCACTGCAATTGATTGTTGGTTGACAGTCACGAAGCTTGTCCTGTGGAAGCATTGTAGTAGAAGTTCAATGCCTGTACTAGTTTGCCCTCGCTGATGGTAAAACCCAGGTCCTGTAACAGTTGTAACAGCACCTTATATGCTTGCGTACACTCTTCTTGTGTGGCACCAATAGCAAGAAAATCGTCAAGATACACAATAATGTTCTGAAAGCCTTGTTTGGCCATCATGTACCAGACGGCCTGCATTACACAATGGAATATAAACTGGTGAGCTTTTGGCTCCGGATGGGAGGCGAGTATCGTAAAAATAAGTCTGATTCACTCGCCATTTTTGAAACTGAAATTCGAATACGTATTCTAGGGAAGCTAAGTAAATCTTGCCTGCTTTCTGGGAGTGCACTAAAATTCTAAGCCTTTGTCCGATAATATTAAAAATTAAGCAATAGACTACAAGCTAACGTGGTGTATTACAATTGGTTGTATAATGGTCTTATGACTCTCATACAATATATTGCTTAATTTTGAAACAGGACGACTCCTATGCAATGTACACCTGCCTGCCCCCAACCCAGACCTCTCCGTTATTAGTGTAGATTCATATTAATTAGAGTAACATTCCATTGTAGTATTTTGTCACTGCTTCTGTGTTGACAATGTTGCCTTCACTGCACTATTAAGTGATGATCTCCCTGTTGTCGTATTGGCGTTTTGGTGGAGAATCTTCGCTGGTGAGGATTTCCAGCCACTTGTTGTGCTTGATGTTCTGTGTCATTTGCATGGCATCGCTTATGATTCACTGACCTTAAACATTTTTTATAGACAATGA